TTATGTTCCTCTGTTATTAATGAAAGACCGAAGCCAAGTCAACTGAGCTAGTTTTTTGATGGATTAAAAATAAAATAACAACAGTAGTGAAAGTGAAAAAATGTCATTTGTTGAAGTAAATGACGCAAAACAAAAATATAAACATATTATGAGGGGGTCAGACAAGACTAGAAAAAACTCGAAAGAATATAAAAGTCTTTTGTGTCAGACGCCGTGAAACAATGGAACCAATTAAAAATAGAAACAAAGAAGCCATTTCAATTAATTCCTTCCGTAAAAACTAAATAGCTTGTACAAAAATTATCAATCCGCCAACGTATTTTTCTTTTGGTAAACGTTACACAAACATACTTTATGCTAAACTAAGACACAACTGCTTACTTAATTATGATCTATATAAACGCAATATTATCAACAGTCCTCTTTGTTCATGTGGAAAGTATGAAGACGTTTACCATTACTTTTTGCTTGTAAAAAGTATGCAAATGCTAGAAACAATCTTTTTAACTACCTGTTCATGCTTGAAGAATTGGTAGCAATTGACACTAACCTGTTATTATGGGGTGATAGAGATTAGCCTGTATCAACTAATTATAATATTTTTGCTTCTGTCCATAGATTTATTACTGAAACATGTAGATTTTAAATTTACTTGTTCTTAACTTATATCACTTGAAAATGTTATAGATATTATATTTTAATGTATTATTTGCATGACATATTTTTACATTTATAGAGAAGAACTAGTAAGTTGTAAGAACTTGATTCTAATCCATTTGATTCTTTCAATAAAATATGTTCAAAACAACTGGTTTGTATTGATTGTGGATATTTTGAGCTCGATCACATTCGCTTTTTCACTTATCTTATGAAGTAATGTTTTTATGCAAATCATACCTCGAAGAAGGATGTCTGAAAATTTGCAATTTCTGTACGATGTTTGAAAATGGTCTGACAAAGTATGGTAATTATTCGCCGAATCAGGAGAGTCGATTTAATTTCCCACTTATTCGAATTGAACAGAATACTGTTCTATTTGAGAGCGTAATTGCTGTGCTTAAATGTAAAATGTTATATTAAGAAACTGCTCAAATGAATTTTAAATTTTTTATTGAAACTGAGGTTTTTATTTAATGGAAGAGCATTAATTCAAGGACAGGTGATGCAAATAAAATATGGATACCTGGATTGGTATATTTTCTGGGCTTATTTTTGTTGTAAATGATGAAAATACTAATTTAAGAAATATTAAGAAATTAACCTTCTATGACGTACAAAAATATTTCTGCAACCATCCTTATTGAGGATAAATGTGACACAAGATTTTTACTTAATAGATATTTGAGATATCTCTTTAAAACTATGGTATAAGGTAGTCCCATCTTCAGCATCTGAAAATCAGACAGTAATTGAAAATGCTCACAATGATGTATTCCTTGATATTCAAAGTTATTAATAATGATTGCACAAAATTTTCATTAGAAATAATATTATGTTATACATCATGAAAATAAAAATAATACCGTATCCTTGGGTATATTCTGTAAAATAAGGGCGAAAAAAGGGACCAAGCTACAATACTTAAGTGGAATACGCCTTTGCTTCTGTATTTATTCCATATCCAGGATAAATCCCTTCTAATTCTATATTAGTTTTAATTCATTGGATTTTTTTTTTATATATTGGTGTTTTATTTCATATAGTTTTAAAACTTTGAAAGAATTTATTATATATTCTTTATTCAATAGATGTTTGTTTTCTGTAAATGTATTTATATGTTGATATGTTGATCTTACTAGAAATTCTAGTTTTCCAGACATAAAATTGTTTATACATGTACTATTTTCGCTATTTTCCCACCCATATTGCTACTGAGGACTCTGCCAATTGCAAATGCCATAGGCTCTACTTGAATTCATTTTCTGTAATTGATATTTGTTCCCCTATTTACTAAAATTACTTTTTTAAAAAAAAAATTGAAATTGAATGGCTTTATATAGATTTTATGTTTATATGGCAAGGCCGATTTTCATACTATAATCTAGAAAATCTGTTAAAATCTTACCGGCCACTAAATTTCAGAAATGATTATTTTCGTGGACTTGCAGATTTAATTATCATTTGATTTTTTTATGTATCAGAAAACAATAACACTAATTTCAAGTGTTTCGTTATACAGACGTTCAAGTTTACATCTGTAAATCATGCAAAGGTTGAAACACTCAGTTTATGTTCCAAAATAAAGCATGAAAAAGAATAAACTTTTTTTAAAAAAAGTTGTGTTAGGTTTCAAACAAGAAATGTAGTCAACAATACATCTTAAACCTATAAATTTTATATGTAAAATAAGAATACAATCTTTCTATTCTATTCTTTCTAATCTTTCTCACTATTAGAGCTAAATCCGATCATTATAAGTTTCTATTTGATATCTATTTTCAAAAGAAATCTTCATGTCAAAAATAAGAAATTGCATACCTTGTTCCGTACGAGCTGTTCTTAATAAACAAAACAGAATGAATATATATTTAAAAAAATATCAAAGAGTTTTGATAGTTGTATTGGCATTTTGTGCTCAACAAATAAGTACACGGACTAAACATCCTTAAATTTTCTTTTCTTGCAGCACGCGGGAGGCATAAAATTTGAAACGTATTGTATAAAGTCATTTTAGAGATCAAAAGATAGTTTTATTTCAGAATATTTACATTTCCAATGTCTTTGTTCGAGATAAAATTACAAATTGTAAATGTAATTTATTTCCCCATCAATGCAGCGGTTCCAAAAAACCACGTGTAGGGCGGAACAAACAGCTACACAGAAGCAGGGCTTGGAGCACGTGGATTGTCGGAATCAAAGCATGTAAATATAAGGAATAACTGTCAGATCATTCGATTTCATGACGATGATTAATCGAATGGCTTGCGTGATAATTTTATGTATAAACGCCTTCGGCGTTCATGCAAATTATCACGCAAGCCAATCGATTGATCACATCATGAAATCGAAAAATAAGACAGTTATTTCTTAAATATTTTACATGCGTCAATATTTACAAAGTAAGGTAAGTCAAGCTCCATTGATGACTGCAGTTAAAACAGAGTTTTGGAACTTTTCAGTCTTTTCTTTTGCTTGTATATTTTAACTAATATTCTTTAATTTGATTTTAATAAAGATCTGAAGTCTTGAGAAGATTTTCATCTTTGGATTAATAAAATTCCTTTTGTGTATTTCGTTCGTGCTGCTTTTCAAGTATAAAATGTGCCTCTGACTCAAGATGATTTGATATAGATAGGCAGATAGATGGAGCTAACATTGTAAGATTGATATTTTTGGACAAGGCCATGTATTGTTCATTTATTTCGAACCTATTGTAAATAGCGTATTCGTGTCATACAAAATAGAAATGGATATAGGAAAGCATTACAGTTAAAACATTTTTACAACGAAATAAACAATAAAGCTAAATTTAAAAAAAATAACAGGATTTTAATCCAAAGTATTTATGGTTAAAGATTTAATGAAGAATCTAACAGAATTTCCTATTTAGCATTAAAACGTTATTTATCAAGTATAATAGTAGTGTTAAAAAAGCCAGACAACTACGTTTTGTAAATTATACAAAAAAATGGCTTTCTCATTATCGCAGTGAGATTCAAGATATCCTGTTGACAACAGATTTAGTTTTTACAATACTTACTAATATTTAATGTCCTTACTTAAAGCATGGATGCATTCCTGCAATTAAAATTGAAAAAATCCTTTTGTAAGTTTATTTTGTAGCAATTTTGCATGTCCCTTTAAAACGTAAAAAGTAAAATGTAACGTTACAATAAGACTATGGAGACAAATGAAAAAAAAACAACTACAATTTTGATTCAAATATTCATTATTTTCCAAGAAATATATGAAAACCCATATAATTATTACAAACTTTTTTTCTTTTCGCAAATGATTTCAAAGTTCTTATATGTAAAGTATCATGAACAACAAGTAGAATTATTATTACTATTAGATTTTTTTATTCAAAAATATTTTCTACAAGGAAAACTACTGCTAAATGTTGCATTTTTTTCTAACAAGCAAATACCAAAGTGGAATAATCTTACATAATAAGGAACTTTATTTCTTTTTCGATTAAGAATTTGATAGGTATTAGGTATGGTTTTCATATTATTATTTTCATATACACCTCATATTTTTCTTTTAAATTGTGATAAATCTACTTACCTTTGAGTGATAATTTATTAATCTATCATGATCCAACGTAATTTTTTTTTTAAAGTAAAGCTTTATACTTACTTGAAACTTTTTTTCAATGAAAACTAATACTTCATTTTCTCCTTGATATAAAAAAAAATGCCGGAAAATGTATTAAAAGAGGAAATTTATTCATAGTTCATAAGTCCAAAATACAAAGGTATAATTTGAAATCAAGTGCTAATTTGTTAATACAATGTAGTAAATAGTTGTGGTTTATATTATTAAAATAAAAACATGTAAATTCTAACAATAAAGAGAGTTCTTTCTTTTATGTAAGTATTTCACTGAATCCTGGCCTCATTCAAGTAGATTCTCAGAAGATGGTACTTTATATGACGTTCATTATCGATGAAAGGGTGCCTTAACAACTTTATATGACGTTCATTATCGGATCAAACGGTGTCTCAACGACTTTATAAGATAATTATGTTAAAGAAGGATGTTGTTTGAAAAAAATCATTAAGTATATGTCACGTGGAAGCACTTTGAATGATTCCAATCTTGAAGTAAAATCCTATATAAACCGTTCTCCCCAGTCACAACTCACAGACAGTCAAGATGCATTTCCTTACCACTGTAAGTTGTTAGATAGATATATTGTACATTCACAGATTAAATCTATATTTTTTATCTTGTAATAAATTTGAATGTGACATTTTAGAGTATATGTTAATATATACTATTTAAAACTTATTTCATTTTAAGATACTTTTTAAAGCTAAAAATTTTATTTCCAGGTTTTCATACTGGCGTGTGCGCTATTTCTTAATGTTTCCGGCTTCTATTATAATACGTTGTTTGGAAGCGACGAAGAATGCCCAAAAAGGGGTTTGTAATAAAATAATATAAATAAATTAACTGAATAATATTTAAAAATTAAAGTGATAATCAGGATAGGTATGTACATGTAAGACTTGCAGATTTAGAAGTCGTTTTTGTTTTTAAAGGGAAGCTTAAGTTTCATCTAAATGAGATAGGGCAAGAGGTTTTCAAGTGCGATGTATCATAGTGCAATATTGTAATTTTCTATGGTCGTCAAAAATTGTCGAATATTTATCGTTTCGCAGACTTTTCTTCTAATATTTTCAGTACACTTGGGAAAAAAAGCCGTATGTCCCAACCTCTGTTGAAATTAGGCCAGCAAATTATTTTTCTAAAAACAAATGTCGTCAAAACCTTGAAATTTTTATGAATGGTTATCTAGTCACGCTCTTCATAATGAATGGCAAAATCTTATATATATATATATATATATATATATATATATATATATATATATATATATATATATATATATATATATATATATATATATATATATATTCAGTTAATTGAAAAAAAATGTTTTGATTAAAATAAAGAAACTACAGCTCTGAATTTGCATTTGATTAATTATAAGTAATGTAATGAAAAATATTTATAAATATCAAAAAGGACATTAGTTAATATTTTCGAAATTTGGATTAAATTTAAATGAAATGTTCAAAAACATTAATTTTCATTATAGAAACGAAATACCAGGACAGCTATATTTTTATTGAAAGAAATTACCCGGTAGGGAAATTTAAGAAAAAGGTGACACCTTTCTAACTCAAACCTTTCTCGCTGAAAAATATCCTGATTTCGAATTTAAATGTCCAAAGTGAAATGTCTTTTTTTCTGTCACCAATTTTGAAAAAAATATAATGCTAAAGTTGTGAATAGGTTTTTATATCAACTGAACATAATCTAACTTTTTCTAGGCTACTGTTTCAGATTGAAAGTAATGTATTACACTGTAATATTATATTTTACATAAATTTAATTGGGATTGTTTTAAACTCAGCAGGGAATGATACGAAATTGATAACGAGCTATTTTTGTTAAATTAATATGATTGTCTTTCTATAAGTAGATTGATTTTTTGAATGTTTAATCCATAAATTTGAAAAAAGTATATGTGAACGATGTTGCCAATCTATTATTATCTATCAAAAACAGTAATTGACAGAAAATTTCTTTTTTTGAAATTAAAGCAATTTTAATTATTATTTTTTTAAAGAGATGATGATATACATGTAGAACATCTGTTGATCTTTTAGTGTTAAACTATTCGTTTATATCAAAACAAATAAATTAAACAATCATTAAATGCACTTTTGTGTGATAACCTTTTTCGTGAGCACTGGAACGTTGGTTAAAGAGAAAAAGTAAAATAAAAGTTATTGCGTGGTTTTTAATCATAAATAGAGATGTACGCCAGAAGAATGAACGAACTACTGGTTCACTTTAACATAGATTATTTAGACTTATTTTTAATACTATTTTGTAATTTTTTTTAAACTAAAAGATGGTGCTCATCAGTATTATTTTGGATATACAAATCTTGGATGCCTCGTACACCATTTTCACATCGGAAAACGAAGTGCCCCCTCAAGGTGGACGTATCCCACCCACCGATTCATCGAATACAAGGGATACTTTTATGATTTCCAAAGTAAGTGTGCATTTACTATGTCCATTTGTTCAAAAAATTATTATGTCTTAAACAGATTATCTAGTGTTGTTAAAGTAATGTCCTTTTTGAGTAATTTCGATCGTTTTTTTTCATTTATATATATAGTCAGGGACCTATGTACTAATTTGTACTAGTATATAGGTCCCTGATATTTTGTTTAAAATGATAAACCTCGTGATACTTTTGTCCCTGATATTTTGTTTAAAATGATAAACCTCGTGATACTTTTGTCAAAATGGTATCTAAATGCAGATTTATGATTATGAGTTTAAAAGTAATTTTACATGCATATATACTAGTTATGTATTTTGTGAGAACTTTTCAAAAAATGATTGTGAAAACAGAAATCTAATTCGAACATTTTTCAGAAATATAAAGAAAACTCAAAATTTCGTTTATGAAAAGAATTGAAAATAAAAATTAAACTAATTGTGAGTTTCTCTTTTAATTCAGTGAATTCGAAAGTATCGATTGCTAAGAGTCGGTTAAGTGGAGATGAATGCTCTGGGGCAAAAGAAGCATCCCCAGCGGGGTACAGTGAACTAAGCACCGACTGTATTGAGGGTTGTGCCAAAAATTACGCGTGTAAGTTCGGTAACTACAGCGCTCTGTTTAACAACTGTCACCATTTTGCCAACCACCTGTCAGAAGTTCTGTGTAGAAAAGGTACCACGTGTCCTGACTGGTGTAAAGGAAGCTGTGACGATGTGGAATATTATTAACGTTTCAGGAAAAAACGAAATAGCATTTACAAAATCGAATATAAATCGAAACATTTAAAAGCTCACTTGTGAATTACACCTTTTTCATTTTAGTACAAATTGTAAAAAAAAGAGTTTTACGATTTGCCAATTATCAAGAAAAAATAAAAGAAAGTTTGTCTTCTCTGTCTTTCAAACGTTTGATTCCATTAAGGTATGTCACTTGTGAAATTTGTTTACCAAAAATTTTTTGAGAAGTTTATTTTTGGATTAATACTCATAAAGTATGATTCAAAATCGCAGAGAAAATAGGTGGTTAGTGTGCATGTTACTGAACTACGGTACAATTAAGTTGGCCTTTTTACACTTAAATATTAACTATTTCATTAATCAATTTAATCTTTTTCATATTTCACCAGATGTAACTATGGCAATAAATACGATTTTATTTAACGTAAAATAATATTTATTACTGAACAATCTTTTTTTCAAATGTATGCGCGTAAATTATTTTTGACCTGTTTGCACCAAAAGTTGACATATTTGGGGTGTTAAAAATATAACTTGACATTTTAATATTCTCTTGTATAAAACTTTTTACGACTTAAGTGCTGATCAGTCACAAGTCGAAAGAAAATTTATTGTACATTTCGTGATTGAAAAACATTCATATTGTTTAACATTTTTTCTTTTCCATCATTATCAACTTAGAAATATTCTAAAACAAGTTGCACCGTGACAGAAATATGTAGACAAAATATCACCTCGCTCTGTGATTCGGTCGCGCTATGACCTCTAACCCTCAAATAAAATTCATACAGAATTGAACATATTTTCTCTTCAATAAGTTCATACAAGAAAGACATTTGTACGGAAGCCCATTTAGGACCTATAAAAATATTTTTGAAATTTGATATAACGAATTAACGAATTAAATTCGTTTAAACGAATTCCATAATTTGTTATAACGAATTAAATTCGTTAAAACGAATTCGATAAAACGTTATATCGAGTTCATATATATTTTTCTATAGACCCTGGTAATTGAATTTGATTAAACGAATTCAATTCGTTATAACAAACTTTTGAATTTGTTTAAACGAATTTAATTTGTTATAACAAAATTTGGAATTCGTTTTTACGAATTTAATTTGTTATAACAAATTAAAGAATCCGTTATAATGAATTCAACAAATTTGTTATAACAGATTAAAATCGTTATAACAAATTCTAAGAAATTGTTATAATGAATTAAATTAGTTATAACAAATTCGACAATTCGTTATATCTAATTTCATAAATATTTATAGGTCCTAAATGGGCTTTCGTACATTTGCAAATCTAAATATTTCCAAATATTACATATACCTATTATTGGGTCCTATTTTGGCAGACTTGTTTCATACCTTTCGTTAGGTATTTGTTTGGTTTATAATAATTGTACTGTTTTAAAATTATTTTACTAATTTTCTATATAGAAAATTTACAACGATCTCCATGGATATTTCTTTGACACAAGAACAGGTGCCCGTCGCCGATAATTGTCATCATACCGATAAGAGATGTGGATTTCGATTTCTACAAATTGATCAATTCAAATCCTCATGTTTTCAACAAGAAGCCCTAGCGTAATAGGCAATGTCACATTTCAAATGTAAATCATACCTCGGAGAAGGATGACTGAAAATTTTGCAATTTTCTTTGATGTATATAATACCTATGAGATATTGATTGAAAATTTATAAATTCAGCATGATGTTGGAAATTGGAAAAGTGAAAAAGTACGTAATTTTTCACCGAACCAGGAAGGTCGATTCAATGTTTCCCCCTTATTCGTATTAAAAAATACTACTCTATTTGAGAGGGTAATTTTTGTGCTTAAATGTAAAAGAATGTTTCCACGTAAGCATAGTGCCGTGGCCCTTTTTTTATACCACTCTAACTTTATCTAATTAATTCAAATCTTAAATCAGCGTTTTGGGGCACCGTGTAACACGGTGTGTCACAGTTCTGATGATAAATATTTTAAACATTTTCATTGCCCTTATTTAATAAAATTAAATCAACTTTCTTTTGAAATATTTGTTGTACTTTTCCCTAAATTAATATTGGTAATTTATCGGATACAGATGTTTAAACTAATAAGATGCCTTAAATTTAATAACAACGTACTCGTGTCCAGCAAAAAAAAAATCCTAATTATATTACTGATAGAAAGTTCAATAGACTATTATTCTATTACGCTAAGAGGAAACACACTTTCATAAATGAATTACTTTATTGTCTCTACTTTTGATTTTGATTTTAACCGTGTTCAATTAAATTGTTGATACAAGATCGTTTTATCCCTACGTATGCATTCATACCGATACGTAGTACATATCAGATGCGTGATTATACTAAGTGAATTAATTATTTTGTAAGAATTTAAAAATATATAAATATATGTACTGTGTCTCGAATATTTTTTTTTAAAAAATACGTATCAGACTCGCACATTAATTCTGCTCTTTGATACCGGTACCGATACTCGGTGAATCATTGGACAGGTTCAGATAAGGATTATTGCAGTAAGACTAACACTGAAAATCTGTAATTATGTAAAATATGGAGATATTAAATGCGGTAAATGAAAATCTACTGAACAGGCCGAGATGATAATCTTAATATATCTCTTCTTTAAAGCTTAAGGTGTATGAAAACCATTTCTATTAGACGAAATGTCTTAATGTACAATAGAAATTGTAACCAATAAATTATTTTTTTTATGATTTTCGATTCAAATAACGTCCGTGGCAGTTTTTATCAAGCTTGTATAAGAAATCGTAGCTATAAGAAAAATGAGATTTTTTTTTTCATAAAAAGCGTGAAATAATAAGCCTATATTTCTATAAAACTGAAAGCCAAAGCACTAGGAAATATTCCTATCATTAAAATACTAATATAGGTTTTTTATTTTGAATAAAACACACGCATGATACAGACAGCAATCTCAGCATCCCTTGGTCTCTTAGCTGTCATGCAGAACTTTTTTGGTGTTCTTTTCTCAAGGCAGGACTTTTTACACGCCATCATTTTGGTAATAAACTTATTATAGAATATGGAACATATAACATAGACCACCAACAGTTTCGTTTAATATCGTTTAAAGTCATTATTTTGCAAATATTTTGGTTCATACAATGACCTTTTCCAATACCAACTGACGTTTCTCGTACCAATCATTAGGCAATTATTAACATACTGAATTTTTAGCGAATTACCCTGTTTTCCCAATCTTGAAAAAGTGAACACATGTCGGGTGTGACCGATAGGCGGGAAATGCTCACTCCATAATGGCACCTGAACCCTCCTCTGTTGCTTGGAGGTCCTTGATTGCTATTTTCCTGATTTACATTGTTTTAAGAGACTTTTGAGCTTGAATACTGTTCGTTATCTCCACATTTCACGTTATATATATGTAAATAGCCTTACGTTTAGTCTGACGGCATTTAAGTTGACAAAACTCACTATTCCTTGAAAAATTAATGAAAAACTGTATTCTTAATTCCTCAAGTATAACTAGGAATCTACAGTACTTATTAATAATTATAAAAAAACTGAAACATTTTTCTTTTATTTTTCAAACTGATTTTTTATGTTTTGAAGAAAGGTATTTTTATCAAGTTTTTTAAAATTTTTTTTCCAATTTTATTAAGTTCATTTTAAGGAATGATTTTTATGAAAATGTGACATTTAATAAGTCGACATTTTATTAGAATTATACATTCTGATTTTAATAAAATATGAAACAAGAAAACTCTTGCTTAATCATCTATTCTTTTTTTTTTTACAAGCCAATATAACACTATGATTTTCTGATCAAGGTTGCAGTTTACGATTATGATTTTTAAGAGGAATAGTACCAACCAGACCCATCCTGACAGAGCCGTCTAAGTGCATTCCCCATAACTGCTTTCTAGAGCACTCCCACAGTAGTCTTAGAGCAGTCCCACGACGGTCTAAGAGTAGTCCCACAACAGTCCCAAAGCGGTCCCAGAGCAGTCCCACAGTGGTCCAATAATAGTTCCACAACATTCCCAAAGCAGTCCCGCGTGTAGTTCGACAGCGGTCCCAGAACAGTCCCACGGCGGTCACAGAGTAGTTCAACAACAGTCCCAGAGCAGTCCCACGTCGGTCCAAGTATAGTCCCACAGAAGTCCCAGAGTGATCCCAGAGCAGTCCAAAGGCGGTACCAGAGTACTCTCAAGGCAGTTCCAGTGCAGACTGACACCTGTCCAAGCAGTCCCATAGCGGTCACAGAATAGTCCCACAGCAGTCCCAGAGCAGTCCAACGGCGGTCCTAGTGTAGTCCCAAAGAAGTTCCATGAGCAGTCCAACGGTGGTCCGAGCCGATTTCCATATCATATTCTGCATGCACTTTTCAGTTTGTGAAAAATCCTTTGTAAAATTTTGCCTTATTTATGATATTTTATATACATTTTTTTATTGTGCTTAGAGCTAAATCCACCCATTATAAGTTTCCATTGATATTTATTTACAGGTAACAAATTTCATTTTATAAATAAGCAATTGCATATATTGTCCCATACGAGCCACCGTGCTGAACAAACAAAACATTTTTTTTTTACAAAAATAAACCATTTCAAAGATTATGTGTTAGTGGCTGTATAGGTTCCTTGTACTCAAGAAAAATATACAAGGACAAAACACCCTTGAAAATTCCTTACTTGCAACAATCAGGATGTATAAGATGTGAACCGTACGACAATTCACAGCTCAAACTATAGTTTGAGTTCAGATATTTTTGCTAACTTCATTATTTACAAAGTAAGCCAAGACCCAATGATGACAATTTGTGAACTTCTCAGTCTTTACTGTTGCTTTTATATCTGAACTAATTTTAGGTTAATTTAATATTCAATTCGGAAACTTTAACTGAAGACGAATTGATATAAATATGCATGAGAGGTGGAGCTAACATTGTGAAATTGATTTCTTGGAGCTTGCCATGTAATGTTAATTTAATTTGAACCCTTTGTAAATAGCGTACGTGTGTCATACAAAACAGAAAGGGAGATAGGGAAAGCGTTATTGTTAAAAAGTTTTTTAAACGAATTTCTAATTAAAGCCAAATGAAAAAATAA